TGTTTGTACTCACGATTTCGATTGACCGAAACGCTTTCAAATACATCTTACGTTTTCTGTGAAATAAATTCAAAGATCGTCTTTCGTACTCACACAATTACTTCACAACTACTTCATTCTTTTGCGAAGCGCTATATTTAATTTGGGAAACTCTGATTCGATTCTAAGAATTACGAAAAATGCACACTGGCAACATTGAGCGATGGCTAATCAGCGACATATAATCGGAAGCTCCTTAAATAAATAGCTGTGTACAATGAAATACGTACGATGATGCATGTTACGGCCCGCCGAGTGATGAGGCGTAGGAATCCAGGTTTGCCTGGGGCAATTATTGTCGTCCAGTTTAGCATGAGGATTACCATTATTTCCGCCACCACCGGCGCTAAATATACCCTCAGTACTGGCTGTGCCGGACAATCAGAAGGAAAAGAAAACAATGAAGCCAAAACAAAAATCGTATTACGCAACAAAAAAGAGAAATTTGCGAAGCGTATTCTTGCCTACTAAATCTACATTCGACAGCAATAAACGAAAGCGGCTAGCTCGTTAGCAATCATTTTAATAATTAACAATCATATCGAGCGCGTTGAATTCAATAGTATGTATATTTTTAGCACAGTTGGATGGTATCCTGCATAAATTTTCCTGAAACGTAACCATCACATGCCAAATTTGCGATTTGTCGGATTACTCATTTATTAACATCCTTATATTTAGATAAAGAAATGTGTTCACACGTTAATGCGTTGTACCAATTCATCGATGTATATTATTATCTAGCCACCAGACATTAATTACAAACAGATTTACGTCAAGTGTAAAGCCAATTGATGAAAATTCTCGATAAAGTGGAAGCTTCACAAATGAAGATACAGTTACCACATTCAACTTACTCGGGTTGGGCGGTGGTAAACCCGGTATAAAGCCCTGCTGGGCCTGTTGTGCATTGTTCGAAGCGGTTGGCTGAGCCGGCGGATGATGCTGAATCGTCTGATTCATCTCGCCGTCCACGTCCATCGCGGATCCGACCGCGGCGGCGGCTGCCGCGGCAGCCGTGCCGCCGCCGCCGACCGAATACTCGTCCTTAACCAGTCTCCCGCCGGGTCCCACACCCACACCGGATTGTAAGGTCAGGCCGGATAGGTCTGTAAAGAACGGGTCTGTGCGGGGGAAACCAACCCATTCCATCAAGACACCAAGAAGACCACAACAATCAATGATTTCTTTCTCTAGTATTCTGTATTCGTTAACCCCAGGATGTACAATTTACTTTTATCTCGTTGGACAATTACAATCAGGGACGATTGGGAACGATAGAATTAAACTAGAATTAAACGAGCGTAACGATAATAAAGCGAAAATAAGAAAAAAGGGGAGGGAAACGCAAAAAAGAAGTAAAAAATATCATATGCGTATATGAAATACAAGTACTAAAAAATAAAAAAAATTCTAATGCAAGATTACATATCGTAACATACCTATGCCTGGTGATACCACTCGCTCATAGTGATAGGGATTCACGCATACGGAATCGCATTTCAAGTCGAAAGCGAACTGGCAGTATTTCACGTGTTTCAGTTCGTTCTTGTGCAAGTCCGGCCATCTCCAGATGCGAGCGTAGATTACATGCGGAAAACCTTTACGTCCTGCCACTTGCAGTCTACCGTCTAAAGTTCTTTGAATAGTGACACACTTGCTAGGATGTGCGCCATTGGTAGTTATCGCAGTGATCAAGCTATCCAACTCGTCACGCTTCTCCTGTTGATTAAATTACACGTGTGTCATACATTAATCTTCGTAGTTTTGAAATGTAATGGAAAATCGGTAAAAAATTGTTTCAAAATACAATAAGAGTACTCTTCTTTCAAAGTCATATATGTTCGTGTCACGGTAAAAAATTAGATGATGTCAATGCAAAGAATATTGGTCTATTGGAATATTGGAACACATTAGAATTAAAGTCAAATCTATTGTTACACAATAAAGTTCACGATTGAATTACAAGTAACTGAGTTGAACATTGCTGTTATATACGTTTAACACAAGAACACAGCGCGACAAAGATAACATCGGAAGCGCCACACATTTTGCGAGCATTGATTGATTGAATTTATTTAAGATTTGCAAATATATAACAACCTAAACGAATATATAACCAACATAAATAGTGCCGAAGGCACGAAATCCTGATTTTATGCTCTCGTTCCAGAATTTTATAAAATCTTCATGATTCTGATGCTAATGCGACACTTTTTTGACAACCAAAATAAAAATTGCAGTTGTTTTGGTCGACCAACTTTCGCTTTGTTTCGCGAAAGCAACGGTCGACTGTTTGACGTACAAAATAAGACAGTAGAAAATAACTGCAAATAGCAGAAGTGAAGATATAACAAAATTGAAAATATTTGTTTCAAAATGATGCATCACAATGTTAGCGATATAGGAATATATATCGGATTTACTTTGAGTTTCTTCACCAGCGATTCGATAGCTCGTTTGCTGAAACCTTCGCTCTCACCACCTTGACGATGACACATCAACGAGTGCACAATGCTTAAGCAGGCATCAGCGCTGGTTGGAGCACTAGGTGCTATTCCAGTCATCTCTCTCACTGCATTAAAAAAATGCATAAAGAATAAGACTATATTTTAGTTTAACAATACAGTAATGTCATTTCAAAACTATTTTTTCCAAATAGCACAATATATGAAACAAAAATCATTAAAACTGGAATAATTAAACTTGTAAAAATTTGACTAATTAATGCCCATTTCTACCAATGTAGATTAACTTTAATCACGGTTTAACTTACTTTCTATCTTTTTCTAACTCTTAGAACCAGGAAAAGAAGACAGGTAAGGTAAACCAAGATTAAAATTAACCTGCGTTGATAAAAATGGACATAAGTGCTTCAACTAATTTAGCTTCAGTCAATTAACTTTATACAATAGCTGATGATTTATTAGTATCAAATAAATTCCTCAAGATATGAATAGGTTATCCAAGAAAGTAAGAGAGTAAGAGAGTGATCAATACAAAAATAATTCAAATAATATAACTAATATTGCTGCGATATTTACACTCGGGATTTGGTTGCATGGGGGGCGAGGGATACAAGTGACTTCCCCCGCCCGCCAATCCAACCATCTCGGTGAAAGCCGTGGTGGACACTGTCGCGTTTCTTCCCTCAAATCACTGATCTTTTTCTTGGACCTGGTACAGTCCAATCTTTCACGCTCTACCATCTAGCGATTCGTGTTTCATCCATGTATCACAACAGTTGCTTTTCTGTAAATAATTCGTCATATTTTTTATACAATCCAGCCGCTCTACAGCCTTAATTATAGAATTACAAAAATCACTCCATCCTGAATAACATGAAAGGAACACATTTGTTTACCAACCAATCAGGTTATATCCCTTCAATGAATTATCCGTTCTTGATTCATGCCTCCAACAATCGCTGGCAATTGTTGAAGACATCATACCAAGAGCAAACTTGCCTTTGTTTATCTAACGTCAACAGTGACATTTCAATCATATCTACTGACAACGTATTGGCGTATCAATACGTCACATATCTCGATAAAAACTCTCGAAATTGCTCGCGTAAATTGCTCCAGCGTGGAGTCGTCCGGCTGACGCAGCGACACTTACGTTCGAGCAGCGGGACGAGGACGCAGCGGTCGACGAGAGGTCGGGATCGTGACGCACGCGGGCAGCATGCACGAAAGGGACGATCGGCCACGGTCCGCAGGCACAGCTCACAGCTCCTCGCGCGCACTCCGGATCGAACGTCTGCGGCGGCGGCGACGGGCGACGCGAGATGACAGCTGCGCGCGGGGAGACGCTCGTTGCGGCGCGACGTCGGTCACGTCGGTGGCCGAGCAGCGTCGTCGTCGTCGTCGTCAAAGAGCGGGATTCGCGCGGCGCGGTGGCGGCGGGGCACAATTCGGCGCGGCGCGACGACGGTCGCGCGGTCACTCCACGCTCGCGTTTAATCGCCGGGCGCGACACACGCGCGGTTACACCGGTACTGTACGCGGATCTCTCTCTCTCGCGCGCGCGACGGGGAGCGTTGTTCCGTCGCATAGGTTAGCGCATCAATAATACATGTCCGCGGGGCGCGGATGATGTCGCCCGTCGCCGCGAACAGGCCGGCCAAAATCAGCCGCGATCGTCTCAGGGTGGTGGATTTATATTTGCGAACGTCGTTGGCAGCTCTGCACAGCCGCTCTTTTTCTCCGTCTCCATTGGAGGCTGCGGATTGGACCGGATGGAGGGAAACCGGCGGGAATTTGCGATCGGGTTCACGCCAGTTGCGCGCTCTCGGCACTTGAAACGAGATAGGCGATTGTATTCTCGCAAGGGAGCAAGAGAGAGAAAAATAAAGTGTGGAAAGTGCAGTTGAGATGAATGAGAGAATGTTGCTGAATCAAGTTTCGCATTAAAAATTCGCGGTATCGGGAAAAATTAACATTTTCAAGATTCGAAGATTGCCAGATTTAATTATGTTAAAACTGGCTATTTTTTTCTATTTTATTTAGATTGTAATTTGAAAATTAATATGTTGCCAATATAGAAATATAATTAATATTTAATGTAAAAATGTTATAGTGAGAGTAACTAAATTCAAGCTTTATATAGAACTTTAAATTGCGCTTTACGTACGTGACGTAACTAAATGAGAACCATTCCATATTTTTCCCGTGAAAAATAGCTAATAAACAACACCTTACAATATATGACAACGTACTGTTATATAATTTATCATTTCGACCTTATATAATTATGAAAAAACAATTTAAAAAAATGGCGCGTTCCATGTCTCTCTGTTTAAGCACAGGTCTATCAAATGGGGGTGTAACTCAGTGGTAGAGTGTCTGCTTCGCATGCTGAAAGTCCTGGGTTCAAATCCCAGCTCCTCCAACTCTCTTTTTTTTTCTTTTTTTTTATTATTATAATAATATATCCTTAACATTGTGTGTATACGGTATACATGATTGTGAACTTATATCTTTTATTACAAAAAGTTCTTAATTAAATTTAACATAAATACTTATTTGGCCTCTCTCTTTCTTTCTTTCTTAAGTATAAGTATATCACGTTTAAAGATTATAATCTGAAATTCATTAGAACGTAATCGCATTCGTTATTAATAAAATAATCGCAATTCAATTTGTGGCATATATTGTACAAACAACACTGATTACATCTACTAATAATCATGATTCATTAATCGGAATAACTAACACGAACCGATTGCGAAGAAACTACAACTTAAGGTGCCAATTCATGAGATATTACTTTAAAGTAATATTTTCAAGCAATAATATTTTATGGAGATATCTATAATCTATATATACATATATATGGAAGGGTAAAAACCACAGTGGTGTAAGTCAAATTTTTAAAAATATTTTTTTATGTGCATATATGCAATTTATATATTGTATAGATTGCATCTATCCACGCGAGAAAAAATTTAAAAAAAATTGACTTACACCACTATGACTTTTACCCCTCCATATATATATACATATATATAATATATTATTTCAGAAGATTTTTGCTTGCTGAAAATGAGCGTCGAGCGTCAACGTGAAAATGCACCTTTATACCCGAATATTCGATTAATTGAAACGACGAGTTTACCGCGCCGCGAGAGAAACGTGAAGTTAGACGAGTCACACACACCCACAATCAAATTTTGCGCCGTTAGATACTTCGACATTGTTTTTCGCATCGTGAAATTCGCGAATCGCCAATTGTCGAGCGAGGTACCGCACAGTACGTACGTCGTAATCCGTTTTCGACGGTATCGGTGTTTTCAACGATATTTCAACCATTCGAGGAAAATATATCATAAATTTTATCGCGCGCGCGGGGTGCCCCCGCGCGTCATCACGTGACCCGCGTTTTTTGCGCGACTGCCGCGAGCGTGTCGGTTACAGTTCGCGTCGAGCGACTCCGGTGCCGCGGCCGAGTCTCGCGATCGCTCCGCGTTTCCGCGTCTCGTTCACCCGTCCCGGGACGGATTCCGAGTGTCGGCGTCGTCGGGTGCGACGACGGGAACGGTGTGGTGTCGATCGATCCGCGCGATCGCGATCGGCGATTACGTTTCTCGGCGCGCTCGTGATCCGCGCATTCTCGCGATCGCTCGGCGTCCGCCGCCATGACAAGTGGAAGTACCTACATTTTGGATTTTCACGCCGGTGAGAAAATGTCGCGCGTCGGGAACGCCGGATCGGAGGTGGACGATCATTTCGGTGTTAATTGAACGCGAATTTCGACGCGATTGTCGTTCGTCGAGGAGAATTCGTATGGAACGATACCGTCGACGAGTACGGGAGTCGCCGCTCTTCGCCGACGATACTCTGCTCGATACGGTGAGTGCTCTTGTATTTCTGAGTATCAAATTTGTATTCTGTTTTTTTTTGTTAAATAATCAAATATATACGTTAACCAGGGTTAACGTATACGTACGTTTGATGATGGCAACGTCTTCAAGTAACGTAAATCTGACGTAATTGTGAGACCCTGGGTGAATCCTCCTTTTCCAGGAAACGTAATATGTTTCTCAAGGCTGTAAAACAACATCTATACGCATCTTATACAGGTATTTATATTTATGTAATAGCGTCTACGTTGATAGATATATCTGAATATATCTGTTTAGAAACTTACATCTACGAGTCTATGACAGTACTTAAATAGAGGCGTGTCATATTTAAATATATTTATTTGAATACGTAAAACCGTGAATCTGAATATCTAAAATATTTAAGACTTCAACTAAACTGTGATTAATTTAATCGATAACTTATCAAGTAATATCTATACTATTTTAGTTAACATGGGCATAGAATTGTTAATTTTTTTATGAGAAAATGATTAGAGATATTGAATTATGCAGAAATTTTGCTTTAAGCAATTCTGACTCAATTCTGGTTAAATTTTAATTGTCGATCAAGCTAATCTCAGAGTTTGGTCGAAATCATGGGAATCGAATCAGCTGGACTCTGAAAATAAGTTGCCTTGCGTCTAATTTGATCAAAATCACGGCAATTGAACACGTCGCCTAGCTGTTAATTTCAGTTTTGTTTTTATATTACCTTGCTTATCTTTGGAATCCATGAACATGATAATGATGGAAAATCGACTCAGTTGACTTAGGGAGTACAGCAGACTCGCGAGCAACTCTGTATCTTTCGGCGTGCAGAATTGTTGGTCCAAGCAACGCAAAATGAGACTGAGCATTGCCGCGTCCAATTTGTTGCCTATGACTGCAAATTAAAATGAATTTTTTGAACCTTAGACCACACTTTTGCGCTTTCTGACACTTGTGTCGGAGTTCAAAATGGAATTTACGATTTTTACGTACCATATAACGTGAAACATTTGAAAAATTAGGACGTCGAATCGTCAAATATATATTAAAATACACGGCATATAAAATTACAAATAGAATCCTATTTTAAAACGTATGTGAATTATGGATTATGGAACTACAAATTCCTTTAAAGTGTAAAATATGTTAAGAATAATTTAATAATTATTTGAATATATAAACACTAAAATAAACGGTCAATAGGCAAAACAACGAATTCTTGCATCGCAATTGCAAATATTTAATTATTGATATCAGCATTGCGATCAATATCACTTTGTAAAACTTACTTTTATTCATGTCCTCGTGTGCTATGCATCGCAAAAGTTTCGCGCGTAACTCCAGACTAACGTCGTCTTTCAGAGATTGCCACAAACGTAGAAATTCGTAAGGAGATTCGATGTTGTCTAATTTCTGAAACAAATTGCATGAAATATATCTTCTATCTTTCATTCTCTTTTTATTTAATCTTTTTTTATTACTTTGTACTTTTTATTATTTTTTCGTATGACTTATAACAAGTTTAATTTTTTTGCAATTACTTCGATAATGACCGTTCGAGAATTTGCAAACATATAAGGAAAAACACAAAGTTACATATTGTATTCCGAAATCTGAAATTATACCCGAAGATCCATTTCCAATGTGCTATCTTTCCGACACTCGTTAGCTATAATTTTGTCTGATGTACCCACTTTAGTCTTGCCTTTCTTTTCAGGAGAAATTAACTTTTTATTACTCTTGTCTGCGGTTGATTTTTTGCTTAGCGGCGCATTTCTCTCTTCTTTCGTCTTTTTCTTTACTTCCACCGCTTCCACCTTTGTTTCGCTAGAATTGACAGTTTTCCTCGATTTCTCACACTTGTCAACCGCCGGAATTTTGCTGGGCGTTAAGCTCATTTTAATCTTGCTCTCTTTTTCGAGAGAGATCGATTCCTTATTGTTATTCGTACAGGATTTCTTTGTTAATGCACTTTTTTCTTTTACCAGGCTCGTTTCTTTCTTTGTTTCCACCTTCGCCGCCATTGGTTTCTCGTACGCCTCGTCGCACGGAAGCTCTTCGATGATGACCGTGGACGGCTTCGTTTTACCCATGGGCGACGACACGCATGAAAAAATCGACTTTTCCAGTCTACCCTTTGCGCCACGCGGCCCGGGAAATGACTCGCGCGAAATCGTGAAAATATCGTCGCTCCTGACGGCGTCTTGCGATCTCGTCGTTTTATTTCTGGCACCGAAATCCCTCGCAACAGGTGATAATTTATCGCCGCTCGATGAGTCGCGTGTTGTTTTCTCGTTCCTTTTATTTGCCGCGGCATCCGCTACTGCTGCTGATGCTGATGCTGCCGCGACTGCTTTGTTGCTCTCAGCTTCCACGCAGTAACTCGCTTTAAAGTGCGGCTTCGTAGCGATGCTTCGCGACGAGCCTGGCGCTCTGTCGCAATAACATATATCGTTGTTAACACGCAGTTTCGGACACTCAATGCTGTTCGCTCTCGCAGTTCTCTCCGTCTTTATACGCTCCCCCTTGTTTTCGTCGTCGTCGCTCATATCTTCGATCTTCATCCTGCGAGAACGTAGTCAGAAATTTAATGACAGTAACGTAATGGCCGGATCTTTATAAATTGTCAGTATTATTCTAATCGCAGTTGCAAATGTATAATAAGTAACGTGCTATATTATCTCAAGGCTCTGAAATTTATTGGTTTGAATCCGCTCGATAAAAATTATGGTATACAATATTGAATATTTAATGGTTGAATATATTTCTACCTTATTTTCCTCGAGTCACATGGTTTTCTCAACTTGTTCACACCGGATATTGCCACTTTGTTAGTTGGCTCCAATTTTAAAGAAGCTTCGTAATCCGCTAAAGCCTATATAAAATAATATATCAGTGATTATACACGAGAATTACGAAATGTACTTATGAGGAATCTAAATAAGAAATCTTTTAATTAAAGTTTCTTTCAAATGTTGTAGTCAATTTTTTCGCAATAAATTTATTACGTTTTCAAATTTATTCACATAAAGTCAATGGATGACTCACAATCAGTATTTATTCAGCCGCGAAATTTATTTGGGCATTAAATATAGATGGTAAATTAATACGAATGTTACGTGCATTAATTTTTATACCTCGTGCGGCCTTTCGAGATGTTCCAGGGATAATGCCCGGCGAAGGAGTGCTTTGATATTTCTGTAATCCATAGTGAGCACCGTGTTGCAGTCGTTAAGCGCCTCCTCGTAACGCTGCAGCTTTATAACTGAACGCAACATATTGGCTCATCTTATTATGCAACACAGAATTACGCGATATTTTGACGAACATTGAATTGAAAAAGCACAATGTATCCTATCTCTATTAGCGGTAATACAATTTTTAATTTTTTAATTGATCTTTTTTTTATTGTTTAATAATTTAGAAGGAATTACATATTGCAAACAAAAATACAAAAACTCGAATTATCTTTAGCTGTTTTATTGCGTATAATTATTAATTCATTTTAATCAGAATATACAATTATAAAAGAATGAGTTCGCTTACATGTCATAGCGCGATTATTGTAGGCATTTAGATTCGAGTCTACGTCGATGCTGGCGTTGTAATGCCGAAGAGCTTCCCCGTAATCAGCCGCTCTGAAGGCTTCGTTCCCCTTTTCTCTTTCCTGCTCCGCCATTACGTTTATTTCCGTTCCGGTTAATGAAACTAATAGATTAAGAGCTTTAGTAGATCTAATTCCAAGGGGGGAGGATTTAATTCCGATTAAAATTAATGGAGAATCGAGATTACAAATTCTATCAAAATTAAATGAGAGAAACGAGATGTACGGATTATCTGAGACACCTTGTAAATTAACAGTCTATTTGACAGTTCTTTGCAATGTTAATTAACCGTCGTGACTTTAAAGATGTTACTTTACGAACGTACGTTTATTAACTGTCATTTTATGTGCCATCTCATTTATTTTATCCAGTTCCTTTCGCTGTTCCTGGATTTCCTTCATTTCGGTCTGCCGCCGCTCGTCCTGCAGGTCTATCCTGTTTATTTCCGTGTCGACGTCGTATTTATTCCAAGCCTCATAGTCACACGCGGCGATTCGTTTGGGCTTATCGCGTTTTTTCTCGTTCATCTTCATCTTCTTATCCTTAAAACGCGACGCGCGAATTATAAACAATTCTACATTACTCTCTTACGTACAGTATGCATAATAAATTTACATTTAGTTTTGTACCAATAATTGCTTGTAATTCGATACTTTAAGAATTAATAAATTAACACAAAAATATAATATACAATATTGTCGTAAAATACGAATTTGAAACGAAAGACATTGATATCTTAATAAAATGTATATCTCTGTACTTTGATTATTATATTGACATACTTTTGTGTCATTAGTTTTAATCTTTCGAATTTCCGGTTGCAGACAGGGCTCGTTGGCAAGGATGGCTTTCCCCTCTTCTAAATCTTTCTCGCGCGATTGCATCTCGCACGCCCAATTGCTCATGTCGTCGTCGATTTCCTGCCGTTCGTCCACATTTAACATATTTCGTCTCAAAACTGCCTCCACCTTCCTCAGAACTGCGCTCGTCGGTTTAATCCTAGCGAGGCGCTCCTCCGCGTGCTTCGTCAAATCTGGATACTCTCCCTCTTCCCCAGAACTGGTATTAAAACCGCATGCGGAGATGTTTATGACGAATCGTTAATAAACATGCCGGAAAATAACGGGTTTAATGGCGTTTTAAGCAGTAGGGTTGCAAATCTCGCTGACGATTAGCGCGGGGGATTAAAAATTGTCAGTATGTACTGTAATTATCATAATGTACTGAGGATTAGCCGAGAGAGGTAACGCACAAAATAGGAAGCGTCAAGATGGAGTTAATAATATTTCGCGTAAAGAGAGGCCTTTCGAGGAAGGCCAGTCTCGCAAACCTGATTGGCAGACGTTGAGGGAAAATTTTTTAACGTCAGTGCGCAAGATAAAATAGATAACGATGGTAATCAATTGGCGTTAACACGAACGTCTGTTCCTCGCCCCTCCTGAGTTTCCGGCGTTTCTCGAGGAACTATACTCACCGCAAGACGAGAACGATGCGCTCCAGTGTTCTCCCGTCGGTGCACTGCGATATAAATTCGTACGTGAAGTGTTCCACCGGTATGTTGTATCTCTCGAGCAGAGTCTTCTTCTCGGATCTCCGCGCGACGCTAATGATATCCACCTCCTTCTCGTTGCCCATGATAACGAACGCGGGGAAGGGAAGGAGAGACGATCCGAAGATTACGCCGCAAATTGTACGCAGGTTACCTTCGTTTCACGTTCCACGTATACGACGGAGACAACGGTCGAGTGTTGAGCAGCGGTTGTGAGCAGAGATCGAACCGGATTTGTTGGATCCAAGAGCGCATGCCAATCACCTCCAATTACTACTCTGATCTCACGACCCTGACGGTTGTCCCCCGCTGACGCGCCCTTTGATTCATCGAGTTACCACGGATACGTGGAGTTGTTGATTTTCTACGCGACTGCGACTCGGACCTTCCTTCGTAACGATCGATAAGTAATACCTGGGGGATAAAATTTTTCCATGGAAGAAAACGCCGAACGACGACGCACATCGCGTCTTGAAGTCTTAAAAATCTCGCGATTCTTTTCAAATATTAAAAACGCGTGTATTAAAATGTCTGCAAGGGAAACTTTATGCTTTGACCGGTTTACACTCGCCTAATATGATTCTAATATGATTCTTCTTAACCCTAGAAAGGTAATGTGGGGTAATACGTTGCCCCACGCGAAATTCAAATTACGCCCCTGACTTAGGAAGATTAGTTTTCATACTGAGACCCTAACCATAATTTAGTTTAGTCATCCGGCAGTCGATCTCCGTCATTAAGCGAGTGTGTTAGATCCGTGCAGCAGCTGTGACCGAAAAAGAAAATCGTTTGGGGTAACGTAGTACCCCTACTTAACGTTTACGTTCGACTTTTATCACAGTAAAATATATTTTAAAATTTTGTGAAAATCGGTAATAAAAAATTATACATTTTATAGCACTCCCCGGAAAATTCTACCCCTGTTTCATATATTGATAATTCTTTAAGATTCGGCCAATTATTTCATTTTTGCTGTTCTTGCACAGCAACTGATTAAAACTTTGTAAAGTTTTTGTGGAGTTAATTTTACTGTTTCCATATACTTTTATAACTTTTGACTACCTTTCAAATAAATAATAATCGACAGAATCTGTTTTACTTTCCATTTTTTGCGATTTTTCCCATCCGACAGTTTTTCGTCATTTCCTCTACTTCAGACGTTCAAAGAAATATGTTTTTTGTAAGAAATGAAAAAGTTGCTTACATGCCCTTGAAGGTTGTCTATTCGTCTTTCAAAATTCGTTGGATTTTTTAAAATCGGTGAATTTTATGAAAAACTACAGCATTTTTTATTAAAAAAGTCATTTCAGCCCAATTTTTGGTTCTGTTTTGTTTTTCGAAATTTTTTTACTGTTTTTTTTACTACCGCAAATTGATGACTACTATCGTCTTCTCTATTAAAGAACAAACAAAATTATCTATTAAAAAGTTGTCTAACAACAAATAGAAACATTATACACGCGGTACAAGTTTGGGGTAATTTAATACCCCGCTTGGCCTTTCACGTATGAGAAAATTCATATTACCTCTCTAGGGTTAAAAAGAAGATGAATTAGAATTCTTATTTCTGTCGACACATCTCGCATTTCTCTATGCCTCCAAAATTCTGCAACCAAAACTATAGGCCTGTTCTGGTGTTCTGATCTATAGGTTTCCAACGTGAAAAGAAAAAGAGGAAAGATGAGCCGTGAAAGAGAAGTTTAGCTAAACAGAAGAGGCCTTATTATTCACACTCGTATAATATGATGTTCTTAAAAAAAAAAAAGAAGAAAAAACTAGAATTCTCATTTCTGTCGACGCATCTCGCATTTCTATGCCTCTAAAATTCTGCAGCCTACAAAACTAAGAAATTACGCGTGTCGATTCGCGTTACGATCCGTGGAACGGCCACGCGGTGAATAGCGAGCCCCATGCAACGCGCGTCTAACGAGGATAAACTCGCATTTCCACCTTCGTCGGCGCCGCGCGTCTCGCGGCACGAGAGCAGTATTCTCCCCTTTTTCCCGACGCAGCCTCTTCCTCCTCTTCCTCTCGCAGACACGCGCTCGCGTACGCTTGCCTGTTAACACGGCAGTCGGCTCGCAGCCTCATCGTAACGCGACGCGACGCAACGCGAAGCGCAGCAGTACGCGACGAATGAAAGAGGCGTGCAGTCGTCGTCGTCGTCGTCGTCGTCGTCGTCTTCGTGATCGTCGGGTCGCCGCCGTGCCGCCGCCGCCGCGCCGGTCCCGGTCGTCCCGGTGAGCGAGCGCAGCCAAGTGCATATTAGACGAGGCGGCCGCGAGCGCCGCGCATTCGCCGGCGAGCGCTCGCTGAGTGGAGAGTGCTGCGAGATTGTGCGCCGCGTGTGTTTTTACTCTCTTTCTCTCTCGCCTGCGCGTACTCCTCCACGTCAAGTGCCCACGATCCGTGGTGCGCCCGTTCGAAATTCGCGAAACTGATCCGCGATACTACTCCGGAAAATTGCACATAGCTTTTCGGAGTTCACGATCTCTTATCTATACATGCTTCGATAATCGTGCGCGTTTCTCGCGCCGATCATCGTTGTCGAACTTGTTCAGTGCGAACTCGGACCGTCAAGTTGTGGACACACGAGTATCGCGAGACGTGATCCTGAAATCGCGGAGTGGTGCTCGATGCGTTAGGAGAGTTCGGCATTCAATAACGTGCTCTCGGGTTTCTAAACATTTATCGGCGGCTTGACGTGCCACGGCAGTATCGAGCCGCGATCGGCGAGTCTTAATCGATTTTTGATTGCTGAATTCGAACTGCCAAGCTCCAACCGTATAGTTGTGCAAGTGTAATCGTTGAGAATATTCCAGGTAATTATTCCGCCCAGAGAGAGATTCACCAAGAGACTTCGGTTCACCTTTTGTCAGGGCTCAAAGGTCATCAGTTGATCCCTAAAGTCAATTGCAAAAGTTAATTTCCTTATTAATGCGCGTAACCATGACTTAATTGATATCGGATATGCTGGCGTGCAATTCGTTGAAAGTACCTATATCTTGATAGTAGAACGTTCAGCAAGTGTGTGTGTGTGTTGGTGTGTGTGGAGAAATGTATTATTTAATCCACGAGTCATCGGCCTTCCTCGATGCGATTAACGCGACTCGCGACTCGCTGTTAATCGACAGAATGAATTTATACATAAACCTCGGATACGTTTAATTGAAATTGCATGCGCGAATATTATTCCGACACGGATAACGTAATTATAACTCGATTCTTCCAACGTTGATTAATTCTCACCGCGCCTTAACCAATTCTTCTTCTAGGTAATAGTTCTCACTGTTAAGCACTTTTACTATAAAGAAAACTGATAGGTACAATTTAGTTGATTATAATTATCATTAATCGACGTTGATCGGTAGAATTTTCAGAAGACACTATAAGACAGAAAATGGAATCTTCGCAAGGCACATCGCGCGATTAATTCTCTGAAGAGAATCTCGTCAAATAAACAAGTAGCGCATCTGCGCACCTAGTATTTACACGCCGTAGACTTGCTACGTGCAAGGAAACCGATACCCCGGTTTCCGATTACGATTCTCTATCGCGAGCAACGAGCTGATTTCCCACTTGCGCGGCCGATGAGCAGAAACATTTGTGACACATGCCGAAATTTAAGTAGGTAGATAAGGACGAAACTAAAAAATTTAATTAATCGCATGACTGCGAGATATTTGAACGAATCAATTACACGAGATTATTCTCGCCCGTGTCGTTTTACTTGATGAATATAATTTTCTTCCATTTAACATTATTCGATATAAAAATTTGATTTAATTTGTTTTGGTATATTTAAAGGTTACTTGATTCAATTCTGTTTATTTCAAGGATGAAAGGATGAAGGATGTAGAACGGGATAGCCCTGCGAAAACAGTTTAGCACGACCAAAATATGATTTTGCAATAGAGTGTATTTTCAAAATTTATTCGCCGCATCGAGTGATTCTTATTGTATTATCGATGACTTCATATTTGTTGTCTCTTCGAAAACGCTGAATTGCGGTTTATTTAGGAATATGCTATATTACGATTAATAAACATATATCGGTTAAACGTGTTATGATCACGTATTTCGGCGAATTGTTCTTGCATTTTGAATGGACATTTAGGGGATTCTTTTTCTAACTCATTCATGATTTTACTTCGATCGTGTTTCTGTTATATCGCACCCGGTTAATATTGGAAATTTCTCGCGTAATAGACACGATCGCAAGTTTATTATTTAAATGTATAATTCGAGTTGTAAATTTGTTCTATTCTCATTTAATTTAGCACGCGTTGCAGCAATTTACGATCGTGCTTTGTTAGTCAACATTGGGACGAGTTTCGCGATAAGGCCGCGTGAAAAGAATTTCTCGTGAATAATATCGTCGCGATGCGCCCTGGAAGATAATGAGGTTTAATACGTGATACACGGACGCGTTATCTAATCTAGGTGTGATTTAAAGCGTCGCAGAGGCGAGAATGAGAGGCGAGAGGTGACGATTTTGCGATTGTCGGCGCGTAAGACGTTCGGGGGATTTTTCGCGCGTGTTTCATCACCCTGGGTATCAATTATTTCTCCGTTACGGCGAAATATTGTCATATACCGCCGTTATGTTTATTACTCCGCCATTATCGTTAATTGTTCCTCCATTAATTATTTCCCCGCTACGTTGATTGCTTCCCCGTTTTTCCCTCTGTTACTTTCCGCTATATTATTTGCTTGTTTGTCGTATTGATTACTGTTTAGATTTTTTATTGTGATTAATTATAAACGTAGAGTATCTGGATAGTTTTTGCCATATCGGCGGCATCGATTGAAAGTACCTCAATTGCGAAACCGCAACTTTTGAGGAGAGTTTATTCTTACAATAACTTTCTTTCGTCGGGAGAGTTTTTTTTTTGCTTAGCAAACACAGTCACGTAGTTGGGAGAAAAGAATCAAATGCTCCAATAGTTAAACTTACGACAACGGACGCGTGCTCCGAAATGACTTAATCTTTCATTCAAAATTAAACCCGCCACCTCTCTCGAAACGTTAAAATTAGCTCATTAGGCATTCAGCAAAAAAATGGCAAAAACAAAAACGTTGCACGTCGCCGCGGGGGATGGATGCATCCTACTTTTCTCGCGGTCGTCGTCTGCCGTCGTTTTCGCGCGCGAGCGAGAAGCGTGTAGGTATGCATCGGTGTGCGTGCATGCGTTCGTGCGTGCGTGCGTGCCTGTCCTTTTTTCGTAATCGCCGACGTGTCGGCGGCGCCAAGCTAGAAGACGCGGAGGAAGGCCGACGACCCGTTATAAATGGAACCAGAGAGACGGCATTTCTTGAATCGCTGCTTGTGTTGTTATTCGCAGCGCAG